TATCTGCCCCAGCCCAGCACTGGGATCTCACAGAGAAAATAGCTATTGTCATAACTCTTCAAGATGCTGGACCACAAACCACATTGCTGCGGCCTGTGCCAGGACTAGAGGGAGGCAAGTGAGGCACCCTCTTCAGGCTCAAATCTAAGGGGACTGCAAAAAACCCTCAGTAATCGAGGCCAGGCACAGTGTCTCATGCCTTTAATCCCAGCACTTTGCGAGGCCAAGGTGGGTGGATCAGCTGAGGTCAGGAGTTCAAGACCAGCCTGGCCAACATGCTAAAACCTGGTCTCTACTAAAAATACAAAAATTAGCCAGGTGTGGTGCCGTGCACCTGTAATCCTAGCTACTAGGGAGGCCGAGGTAGGAGAATTGCTTGAACCTGGGAGGTGGGAGTTGCAGTGAGCCAAGATGACGCCACTGCATTCCAGCCTGGGTGACAGAGTGAGACTCTCTCTCTCTCTCAAAAACAAACAAAAAACCCCTCAGTAATCAAAATTAATCCTATTGTATTGCAATATTTTTTAAAATTGAGGTTAGTGCAAAAAACACCCATGATGAACAAAGTTTTCAATGAAGACGGGATGGGTGTTCTTGCCTTTATGAGCCTAAATGACTTCTCTTGCCTTTACTCTGATGCGGCACGGCACGGCTCTGGACTTCTGTAAGGGAGTCTTCTATTTTTCACCCACACCTTGCAGGAGCCACCGGTCAGCTTTGACACCTCAAGAACTTTAGCACTCAGGGTGAGGCCAGGCTGGAGACCCGGATGCCTGGCAGAGCAGCAGTGCCACCTAGTGGCAGGCTCTGGTGCCAAGGCATGAAGGGTGATGCCAGACAGAGCAACAGAGAGGGCCAGGAGTAGTCTGGGAGAGAGCGTTTTCCAGAGCACTGGAGCACGCGAGCCTCTGCCTGGGCAGCTGCACGGGTGTCCGCTGAGGTGGGGCAGCAGGGAGGCTGCGTGAACAGATGAGGCAGGAGCAGGAAAGTGAGAGTCAGTGTTGCTGAGACTGATTTTTCCGGCAGGCAGGAAATTGCCATGCACAGTCTTAGCACAGCTACAGGCAGATGGGGTGACCTGGAAGCAGTTGCCCCTCCTTGTCCTCATCTATGAAACAGGAAGGTCAGCACAGACCGTCTGTCTCTGTGGCTTGCATACTCTTCAGAACTTGTGCCCAAGTTTCCAGTTCCAGGGACGGGTGTGAGAAATCAGCTTCCGAGCAACAAAACAGCCTCCTGTTGGCAGCTCCAGGCCACTTTTTTTTTTTTTTTTTTTGGAAACGGAAAGTGGTGGGGAGAAGTTTCTTTTTTTTTTTTTTTTTTTTTTTTTGAGGTGGAGTCTTGCTCTGTCGCCAGGCTGGAGTGCAGTGGCGCGATCTCGGCTCACCGCAAGCTCCGCCTCCCAGGTTCAAGCTATTCTCCTGCCTCAGCCTCCTGAGTAGCTGGGACTACAGGCTCGTACCACCACGCCTGGCTAATTTTTGTATTTTTAGTAGAGATGGGGTTTCATTATGTTGGTCAACATGGTCCCAATCTCTTGACCTCATGACCCGCCCACCTTGACCTCCCAAAGTGCTGGGATTACAGGCATGAGCCACCGACCCCTGCCAAGACTGGGTTTTAAAGTCTTAAAGCTATAGCAGGGTGTTGTGGTTCACTTTCCTTCTTTCATTCTCTCTCTCTCTCTTTCTCTCCCCTTCCTTCCCTCCCTCCCTCCCGCTCTTCTTCCTTCCTTCCTCCCTCCCTCCCTTCTTTTCTTTCTTCTTTCTTCTTTCTTTCCTTTCTCAGACAGAGTCTCACTCTGTCATCCAGGCCAGAGTGCAATGGCATGATCTTGGCTCACTGCAACCTCCGCCTCCAGGGTTCAAGTGATTCTCCCACCTCAGTCTCCCGAGTAGCTGGGATTATAGGCATCCACCACCATGCCCAGCTGATTGTTGTATTTTTAGTAGAGTTGGGGTTTCACCAGGCTGGTCTCGAACTCCTGACCTCAGGTGATCCACCCACCTCGGCCTCCCAAAGTGCTGGGATTACAGGTGTGAGCCACCGCGCCTGGCCTCCCAGCCACTTTGGACATAACAGTCCCAGGAGTAGCATCACCAGCCACCACATATCCAATCCAAGGGAGAGGAAGGAGGAAAGGACTTCTCCATGTGGATGTCCTCACCCAGCCTCGAGACTGATTTTCTGGAAACTTTTATAACAAGTGCTGTCTGTGCCAACAGCTTAGCACTTGGTGATACTGTTAATTAATTCCCAGAATCTTAGACACTAGGGTGGCGAATAGGATTTTATGAGTGCCTGAGTGCCAGAGTAGATTAGCAAGAGAAAACAAACAAACAAACAAACAAAAAACAGAATGGAGAGATTTCACTCTTGGACATGGAGTTTTGAGAAATCCTCCAGGGTCTGATTCTCAAAGGGTGGTCCCTGGACCGGCAGCATCAGTATCATCAGGGAACTTGCTAGAACTGTAAAACCTTGAGCCCCACTCCAGACCTGAGAATCAGAACCTGGAAGGTGTGGTCTGGTGAGGTGGGTTTCATTCAACATGCCCTGCAGAGCATTCCGAGGCATGTTCAAGTTTGAGAATCACTGATTTTGAGCCATGCTTCTCAAACCCCGCTGTGCCAGCCGGTCACCCAGGGATCTCGTTAGAATGCAGATTATGATCCAGTGGCCTAGGAAGTGGTCTGAGACTCTGCAGTTCTGACAAGCTGCCAGGTGACACAATACTGCTGGTCTTTGGAAAACTTTGTGTAGCAGGGATCTAGGTCTGCATTTCCCAGACAAGCTTTGCAATGAAAGTCACGTGGGGGCTTATTAACTGTGCAGGTTACCAAGTCTCTCCTCTGGAAATTCCTGTTTTGTGGATCTGGCTTCGAGCCCAGGAATCTGCTTTTTAAAACAACTGCTCTAAAAGTTTACCTTTAGGCTGGTCATTAGAATCACCAGGGAGAGGCGAGCGGATCACGAGGTCAGGAGATCGAGACCATCCTGGCTAACACAGTGAAACCCCGTCTCTACTAAAAATACAAAAAATTAGCCGGGCGTGGTGGTGGGCGCCTGTAATCCCAGCTACTCTGGAGGCTGAGGCAGGAGAATGGCATGAACCCGGGAGGCGGAGCTTGCAGTGAGCCGAAATAGCGCCACTGCACTCCAGCCTGGGTGACAGAGCGAGACTCCGTCTCAAAAAAAAAGAAAAAGAAAAAATAAAAAAATAAATGCAGATTCCCAAGCTCCAACCCAACCTATTGAATCAGAATCTCTAACGGTGCAGCCTTAAATTCTGAATATTTTTTTAAAAAGTAAACCAGGCAGCCAGGCATGGTGGTTCACGCCTATAATCCCAGCACTTTGGGAGGCCGAAGCAAGTGGATCACAAGGGCAGGAGTTTGAGACCAGCCTGGCTAATATGGTGAAACCCTGTCTCTACTAAAAATATAAAAACTAGCCAGGTGTGGTGGTGGGCGCCTGTAGTCCCAGCTACTTAGGAGGCTGAGGCAGGAGAATCGCTTGAACCCCGGAGGTGGAGGTTGCAGTGAGCCGAGATTACACCACTGCACTCCAGCCTGGGCAACAGGGTGAGACTCCATCTCAAAGAAAAAAAAGTAAACCAGGCAATGCTGATGCCCAGCTAGGTTTAGAAACCCTTAAAATAGTTCAGATCTCTCCTTTTTCAAGTAAGTAACCAGAAACCTGGAGACTGAGATGACAAAGATTGTGAAAGAAACTGAAAGGAGTTAAGACTGAAACCCAGATTTTCTCATTCCTACTTGAGTGTTCTTCCAATGACTGTGTGTGTGGCTTTGAAAATACAAAGCATTGGGAATAGGAACTGTGATACAAACAAAGGTGAGTAAGACAGCGTAAGTCGTGACTGCTACTCAGGGAGAGTAGAGGGAGTTTTTTAAAATGCCCCTAAAAAGGTGCACAAAGGATAGGGGCGTAACCACTGGTGGGCGGGGAGGACCAAGACAGCCTGAGGTGTGTTAAGATTTCGAGGGGAGGTGGCTGGGCGGGAGTAGCGAAGGGGAGCCATGTCTGCAGGCACAGGTGGAAGGCCAGGTTGAGCATCCATCTGAGGAGGCTGGGCGTGGTCGCCCACGCCTGTAATCCCAGCACTTTGGGAGGCTGAGGTGGGCAGATCACAAGGTCAGGAGTTGAGACCAGCCTGTCTAATATGGTGAAACCCTGTCTCTACTAAAAATACGAAAATTAGCTGGGTGTGGTGGTGTGCACCTACTGTAGTCCCAGCTACTTGGGAGGCTGAGGCAGGAGCATTGCTTGAACCCAGGAGGCAGAGGTTGCAGTGAGTGGAGATAGCGCCACTGCACTGCACTCCAGCGGAGCGAGACTCTGTCTCAAAAAAAAAAAAAAAAAAAAATCCAATATCCATCTGAGGCAAGTGTACCAAACTGTTGGTGGGCCGGGTGGGGCATTGACAGTGTCTGGGGAGAGCAGTGACCGGTCAGAGTTGTGTTTCAAATAGGCTTGATTAAGGATGACTAAGCAGTATTAACTAACTTGAATGGACTCAGCTGTGACATTGTCTGTCTTGAACACTACACACTTTGGGGCCAAATGGCTGCTGAACCATGTGTACCCCAGCTCGCCAGATCTTCATATCGCCAGCCTTTACAAGCCAAAAAGTGGTTTCAATTGAGCCATGACATGCAGGAAGAGACGGCCCAAAACTACTTCTTCCTTTTTCTTTTTTTTTTTTTTTTTTTTTTTTGAGACGGAGTCCCACTCTGTAGCCCAGGCTGGAGTGCAGTGGCTGGATCTCAGCTCACTGCAAGCTCCGCCTCCCGGGTTTACGCCATTCTCCTGCCTCAGCCTCCCGAGTAGCTGGGACTACAGGCGCCCGCCACCTCACCCAGCTAGTTTTTTGTGTTTTTTAGTAGAGATGGGGTTTCACCGGGTTAGCCAGGATGGTCTCGATCTCCTGACCTTGTGATCCACCCGTCTCGGCCTCCCAAAGTGCTGGGATTACAGGCTTGAGCCACCGCGCCCGGCCTCATGTCCTTTTAATCTGCTTTTCAACAGGGAACATCACGTCTGAAAGCTCATGGCCTCTGCCTACCTCGTGGGACAGTGCTGGAAATTATGCTCATGTTTAGATAGAATTCTCTGTGAGTGGCTGCTGTTGTCTTTCTGTCAGCACAGACAGGTGCTGGGGTACCCACCTTGGGGTGGGGTGGCAAGAGAAGGCCAGCTTGTATCCACCTCGTTGTCTTCCTTCCTTCCTGACTTGACTTTCTCCTGTGTGGCCTCCTCAGGAGGGGGATGTGGTTGAGAGGAGAATGTGTACTTTACCCCTCACCAGTCCAGAGACGGTCACATAGCCCAAACCTCTCCCCTTCCCAGAAACCTGCAAGTCCCCCTCGGTGCGCCCGTGTGATGAGGCAGGCTCCGATAGCCACAGGCTGGTGGGCCACTAGGGAAGCAGAAAAGGAAGACATTGGATGATTCTAGCTGGAGATAATGAATTGAAAAGCTAGTCTTCGTTTCTGGAAATGATGCCATGAGGCCCTCAAAATAAACATGCACCTGTCTTTCAGGTCTCAACACCTGTTGCTCTTGGGACAGAGACCCCAGGCCCAAAATAGGCACAGCTGCTATGGATGATCTTCTCACCCTTCTGGAGCCGAGGCTGGGTCATGTTTGGAAATACATCTCCCTCCATCCCCTCCTCCCATCCTCATTCGGAGCCTTCGGGCTTTAAGAGCTCTTTCCTCGTTCCCTCTCCCCAGTCTTTCTTGGGTATCTCTGCTTCTCCCATCCCCTGTTCCTGGGCATGTCATAGGCAGTTGGTAAATGACAGATGCATGAATACATGTATAAGGAAACACAGATCTGAAATTTCTAGGAGTAAAGTTTGGAGCAGGAAGCTCTGGCTGGCCCTGGGCTTTTTGCTAACGGTGTCCTGGCTTCGCCCGGCAGCATCCCTCCCCACCAGGCCTTTGCCAGGACGCTCGATCCTCTCTTCAGGCTTCTGAGCAGTGTAAATTGCAAACAGCCACCCCCACTCCCCAGGCCAAGAAAACCAAGGGTTGCTCACAGATTTGTCAGGAATCACTTCTGCCTTATTATCCTCTCTTTATTACCGAAATGTGGAGGCAGAAAGTCAACAGAGAAAGAATTTGTTTTCCCCAAGGCCACATAGATTGCCCCAACACTTGGCTTTTCCTGCTAGGAACTCAATCCAAAAGATGGGCTTTCTTTGGTTCTCTGACTGTAAAAGCGTGCCACCCTGTCACCGTCCTCTATCACGCAGGACCCCTATGGGCTTGGTTTGGTTGTGTTCTTTCATCACTCTTATTGGGGAAGTTTTATTTCCTTTACCTTCCTTGAGGTGTGAGGCTTCACCTTACCTTGTCTCCATTATCCCTGAGTCACTGAGGAGTCCTATGTCAGTGACACCTCTCCATATGCTTTACCCTTCTCTCAGCAAGCTTGCTCCAGGCTTCCCCATGAAGGCCACCTAAGGGTGTCTATCATCCCCCTCCTAAATCTCCCCAGGACTTTGAACAAGGACCATGTCCCGTTTAACGTCACCCGAAGAAGACTCATCAAAGCCCAGGAGTTGGGAGTTCGTGCTCCTCACTACCTTGGCAAGCATGAAACACCTTAGATAAAAACAATCTGTGCCATCCCCTGGCTCCGGATGGCCTGCAGTTGGGGCATGAGCCCCTCCAGAATGTCTTGGCATGGCTGAGGGTAACCAGATCGCCGCTCAGATCCAGCAAGCAGCCTCAGAACCTCCCAGCCGCTGTTGTTTTTAGCACTGGGATTATTGATAGGGGTGTAAAAAGACATCTGTGTTCTGAGTGGCTCGCTCACCCCACATTCCTAGGCACACTTGTTTTATTAAAGCTCTCAGCTGTCGGGTGATCCAGGCGTGGAGAAATGAAAGGCCGCCCTCACCAGCTGGTGGCGGGCTGCAAACTGCAACTAGTTTTCCCCCATAAGGACATGTTACTGCTATTAGAAACTGTGTCCCTCACATGTCCTTAAGAAGGGGGCCATCTGCCAACCATAAATCAAGGCTTCAGCTGTTCCAAATAAAGAGTCTACCCTCCTTGCTGGCGGTCCTTTTATAGTTGACAGATTTTTTTTTTTTTAATCTTGTGCTTGGCCGTGTATTTCTTGTGTAATTAAAAAATTATAAAAGTAATAAAAAATACAAAGCCACTGCTAAGAGATTTAAGACTCAATAAAAAATTCAGAAAGCCAGAGGTTTCCAGATAGCATGAGGATTACAGGGAGAAGGTTAATACATTCCATACCCCAACACCAGAAAGAAAGAATAAAAGAGAAAAAGCAAGCTGTTTATGAAGGGGAAAAGTAATTAGAAATGGCCCTTAATGGCTGGGTGCGGTGGCTTATACCTGTAATCCCAGCACCTTGGGAGGCCGAGGCGGGTGGATCACCTGAGGTCAGAAGTTCGAGACCATTCTGGCCAACATGGCAAAACCCCGTCTCTACTAAAAATACAAAAAAATTAGCCAGACCTGGTGGCGTGTGCCTGTGGTCCCTGCTACCCTGGAGGCTGAAGCACAAGAATTGCTTGAAACCGGGCGGCAGAAGTTGCAGTGAGCCGAGATCGCGCCACTGCGCTCAAGCCTGGGTGACAGAGCGAGACTCCTTCTCAATGAAAATAAAAAATATGATAAGAAATGGCCCTTAATTTGGAGAGGCTCACCCAAAAAAAGTGAGATTCAAGGCGCCCTTCATTCTTTTGCCACCCTGCCCTGGAGCCCATGTACGAAAGAGCCGGTGGATGTTGCAAATGAGCTAAAGTCACCTAAGTTCCTACTGAATGGCCGAAGGTCCTGTCCTAAGAGAGTCTCCCTGAGGATGGGGTGGGCTGAGGTGGTGGACAAGAGGAGGGTTATAGAGAAACACCTGGCGGACGCTAACAGAAACAGTCCATCATTGGAAAGAAAACACGAAGTACGCTTTGGGTTCTATCAGCCCAGTTTCAACACAGCTGTACCCTGTGCTCCAGCTCTTTGAGGGATTTCACCTGTCTGTGTGGCCAGCTGCCCTGATAAAAGGTTAGTACCTTGTAGGGTAAAGGAGTCTTAGGATCCAGAGAGAATCCCAGCTCTGCCATTTTGACCTGAAACAAATCACTCAGTGGTTCGTGTCTTCATCTGTAATGCAGGGTTGATGAGGTCCCTCTCCTCATGGCTGAGTCTGCGTGCTGAGGGCACGAGGGAGTGCATGCCAAGTGCACACGGATAGAGTTCAGTCAGTAAATAGTGGCTGATCTCATCCTCCTCCTCTCCATGGTCGGAGGAAACCCCTCCCCAGCTCGTGCGGCACAGCGGTTCCTGATTTGGAATGGAATTGGTGCTTTTATTTTTCTCTTCTTAGTAACACAGCTTACATTTTCTATAGTCATGGGCATCTTTTTTTGATGGAATAAATGACCACTGGTGACTTTGGTCATAATATTCACTCTTAGAAAAGGAATCTTTTCATTTATATCCTTCACAAAATCAAAGCCTAGAAGAGATCGTCATACGTCACTTCCAGCACCAAACTCCACACCTTCTCCTTTGTGGGAAATGTCACACTTTGACAATAAGTGGACACAAGGGGTCCCACGATCCCAGATATTTTCAAGTTCAGAGGCACCCCAGTTCTGCATAAAATGCATCAAGGGCCTCTTTTATCAATTCTTTAAGTCTTAAATTCTGTAAAATAAGTTTACTTCAAAGATCTCTTGCTTAGTCTTCCTTTCTGGTGTGTATGTATTTTACCCCTTTTTTTTTTTTTTTTTTTTTTTGACAGTGTCTCACTCTGTCGCCAGGCTGCAGTGCAGTGGCGTGATCTCAGTTCACTGCAACCTCCGCCTCCCAGGTTCAAGCGATTCTCCTGCCTCAGCCTCCCAAGTAGTGGGGACTACAGGTGAGCACCACCACGCCTAATTTTCGTATTTTTGGTAGAGACGGGGTTTCACCATGTTGGCCAGGATGGTCTCGATCTCTTGACCTTGTGATCCGCCCACCTCAGCCTCCCAAAGTGCTGGGATTATAGGCGTGAACCACCACATCCGACCTTTACCGCGTATTTTTAAAATATAAGGACTATCTTAGAAAGCATAATCACAATATCACATTATACCTTAAAATGAACAATAATCTCATATCACCAACAATATCCAGTCAGTTTTCAAATTTACCAGTTGGACTGTGTGTGTGTGTGTGTGTGCGCGTATTTTTTAACAGCGTGTTTGTACAAAGCAGTATCCTAACAAGGTCCACACAGTGCAATTGGTGGATAGGTCCACTAAGTGTCTTTTAATCTACAAGTCCCCCTTCTGTTTGTTTTATATTTTTTTCTTTGCAATTTATTTATTGAAAAAGCTAAATGATTTGTTGAGTTCCCCCACATCTGGAGAGAGCACCCCTTGGCCTTTCATTCTCACGTGAGTCAAACTAGGTCCCCTCATCTTCTGGAATCAGACAAAGAAGGGAACTTGGCAACTATTGCTAATAAATTTAATGATGACAATAAACAAAGGATCCCATGCTAGAAGATGCTGTTTCCAGTAGCAAGTCAACCAGATGGTTATCTGACTTCCTGCCTTCCTTCCCTCTTAAGGTAAAGACAAGATTATCTTGGGTAAGGGGTGGGATTTTCTGTTGTGCAGCTTTGAAATAGTGCACATTGAGCTAAGGTAACAGTAGTAGATTTAGACTGAGATGTTGAAGGGGCCAGCCTCTTTTTTATTCATTTGTGTATTCCTGATAGCACGGTGCTTGCATGAACAACAAATATTTACTAGATTTCAGATGTATTTCCCCAGTAGAATGTAAAGAAGGGGAATGTGGGCCTTTGCTTTATAACCGTATTCGGCTCGAGACAAGGGCTTTTCATGAGCCTACCTTTGTGTTCCCTTCATGTCATATTAAGAGATGACTCTTTTGAAAAGCTGTGCCTCCCACTCCCCACCAAAGCAAAGGTTAATCCAGAAGGTTTCTTTTTTTTCCTTTTTGATTTAAGCCAAAAGCCATCTCCCCCTCCGCACATGCACACACCGGTTGAATTTACCGAGCCGTCTGCTTACAAGGATTTCACCTCTGACCATACAAACCATCAAACTAGGAACCATTTCTGCATGGGAAAGAGGAAAACAAATATGGTGAAACAGCCCCAGACTGAAATAAAGCAAAGTTTATTGCATGTGAAAAGGAGTCACATGGACATTAAGTATTAATGGTCAGGAACCAAGAAAATACACATTTTGCATATCTTCTGTCCTGCTCCGGAACGGCTGGCTCACTCTTCACTCTCGTGGACCACCATCTGGGAAGAAAGTAGGCACCTGGAGTTAAGTCAGGTGGCAGAGACATTCCCACCCCACCGCTTCGCCCGCTGGCATCAGAGAATTGCTTGCCTACTTCAGTGGGACAGAGGATATTTTTTGGACCTTGGGAAAATGCACGATTGCACACATGAAGTCACCCCATAGCCTGAGAAACTGGCCCTACGAAAGAGCAAGCCCCGAATGCTGGACAGCCAGCCACCTACTGTCTAATGCCCTGTGTTCCGCGGACTCTGGAGGAGCCTCCTGCAGCAGCCTTTTATTACCAGCAGGGGGCGCGTGAGAGAGCTCAGTGGGACCCGCTCACTCGTTTTCAGGATGGCAGTTTGTTTTGCTGGGATACATGTGCAGAACGTGCAGGTTTGTTATATAGGTTTACATGTGCCATGGTGGTTTGCTGCACCTGTCAACCTGACATCTAGGTTTTAAGCCCTGCATGCATTAGGCATTTGTCCTAATGCTCTCCCTCCCCTTGGCTCCCACCCTCTGACAGGCCCCAGTGTGTGATGTTCCCTTCCCTGTGTCCATGTGTTCTCACTGTTCAACTCCCACTTATGAGTGAGAACAAGCGGTATTTGTTTTTCTGTTCCTGTGTTAGTTTGCTGAGAATGATGGCTTCCAGCTTGATCCATGTCCCTGCAAAGGACATGAACTCATTCTTTTTTATGGCTGCATAGTAGTCCATGGTGTACATGTGCAGGATGGCGGTTTTTACTGTGACTCACAGACCTGGATTCTAGCGAGGGTCCAGTCAGCTAAGTGACTTTAAGCACTTTTCCTGAGCTTGAGACTCCCGACCTCTAAAGTAAAGGGTTCTCTGAGGTTCCTTCCAGCTCAGAAGCTTCTACAGTCCCTGGGGGGCTCCTCCCAGGTTAGCGACTCACCCTGCTGGAGGTGAAGTCTCGAGTCTTAGCGCGGAGCTTGTTGACTTGAGATTCTGCAATATCCGCACGTTCCTCAGCCTCCTCCAGCTCATGCTGAGCCTTTCGAAATTTGGTGAGATGAGCATTGGCTTGTTCATCCTAAAACCAAAGAGCCAAGGCAGGTTAGATCAGCACGCACCCCTCTCGGAACTCACCATGGGAAACAGGCCAGCCTGCATGCCGCAGTCAGCACCTATCTCACTTACAGCCTCCTCTGCCTGCCTCTTGTAGGACTTGACTTTCACTTGTAGTTTATCCACCAGATCCTGCAATCTCAGCACATTCTTCCTGTCCTCTTCACTCTAAGAATGAGAAAATGGGAATGTCACTGGAGAAGAGGCAGCAGATTTGCACATGGCATGGGCAGCTTTCTGGGCTAAAGTGTTTCTTCCCATAGTTTGGTGGAGAATCTGGAGTGGCATTTGCACATCACAGAGGACACGATCATGGCATTTACTTTCCACTTACCTGGTACGTCAGCTCCTTGACCCTCCGCTCATACTTCCTCAGGCCCTTAACAGACTCTGTGTTCTTCTTCTGCTCCCCCTCAAGCTCAAACTCCAGCTCTCGGATCTGGGGGAGAGGGTGGGGATATTAGTCAGGGGCTGGAGCATGATCGGGAAGTTAAAAAGCTCGGTGCGGGCGGGGTTCCTCCTGCACACACCCTGGTCTCCAGTTTCTGGATCTGCTTCTTCCCGCCTTTCAGGGCCAGCTGCTCAGCCTCATCTAGACGGTGCTGCAGGTCCTTCACCGTCTGTTCCAGGTTCTTCTTCATCCGCTCAAGGTGGGCGCTGGTGTCCTGTTCCTTCTTTAGTTCCTCAGCCATCATGGCAGCCTGAAAAGCACATGGGACTTGCTAGGATGCAGAGGAAGCTCCAGTGCCTTGGAACTGTCAAAACCTGGACCCCAGAGGACCAGAGACCATGCTAAAG